TATATATATATATATATATATATATATATATATATATATATTGTGCCTCAACAGTCTATATTATAGTGTGGTTAGTATGAAATAATCCGTGACCCCATTGGTCAATCCCAATATCATCTGGTCATGAGCTCTACTAATTATCATATCAAAAAACGTATCCCTGGGACTACTTCCGCGTTGTGCAACCATTCAAAATTTTGGTTTTGATATATCGATTTTTGTCACGGACCGGAAATTACAAATCTATGCCACCTAGAAACAGATTATTTTATAATTTTAATCCATGTATTGATAGGAGAAAAAAAATCTATTTCGTAGTGCGGCCTCACATACGCATCAGCACAACGACTAACACCACTACCAAATGTACAGCGGATATCCAAAATTTTCAAGTTTAGAAGACTTACACACTATCCAATTTTGTCATTTGGCCAAGATCTTCGTTAGTGGGCCCTATTTTCGAAATGTACCCACAAGCCGCACCATTGCTATACCCATACCTTCCAACATTCAAACACCGAAGGCTGTAAAACGCCAAAAAAAAAACTGGTTCTTTACCAATAAGCAACACGGATGCCGTCCTAGGACGACTGAGGCTATGGCCCAAGTATATGATAGTGATATAAAGTTGTTATCATTCATCCCCCTGTCTTGCTAAATATGGCGTCTGATATGTATAAAACCCTAAAACCTGGCGATCCTTGCTATGCGTTAGACCAAGAAACCCCTAACCCTAAACCCTAAAACTCAGCGTCCTAGAAGAAAAAGGACTGAGCCTTTACCTTGCGACCCTAGAACCCTGTCATTAGGCAGCAGATGTGTAATATTTATATCGACTGAAGCCGTGGCCCAAGTTTATAGTGGAGATGCAGGTTGCATGCGCCATCATTCCAGAGATACTATCATGTCAAAGTCTGTGTTATTGGGACAGTGTACGTATCGATCTTATAACTAGACTAGTTATTTCTATATAAGGTCGTATGCGTGTGATGTAGTGCCAACTAATACCATGGCCGAGCATATAGTGGACGAGCAAGCTTTGCAACTAAGCCAGAAACAAAGCTTGTCAGAATGCGTATCACTTCGACAGATACCGTAATACTGGACATCCCCCTCACTATTATGCCTGTCCCCTTTATATTAGGCCCCTTATACGCGACATGAGAACGACCGATACCATGGCTAAACATATAGTGGACATGGCCTTGCAGCGGCTCTGTGGTGTGAGTGTACAGCACTGTGTGGGCGTATGGGACTTCCACGGCATCGAAGTACTCATCCGTCCCCCTATATTGGTGCCTCGACCAGAGACAGAGGTGGGTTTTATTAAGTCTTTGTTGAGAATATAGTGTTAGAGGGAACCATCATATCTGTATCATATTCGGCCAGACACAGAGGTGGGTTTATCAAGTCTTTGTTGAGAATATGGTGTTAGAGGGAACCATCATATCTGTATCATACTCGGCCAGAGACAGAGGTGGGTTTATCAAGTCTTTGTTGAGAATATAGTGTTAATGGGAACCATCATATCTGTATCATACTCGGCCAGAGACAGAGGTGGGTTTATCAAGTCTTTGTTGAGAATATAGTGTTAGAGGGAACCATCGTATCTGTATCCTACATGCGGGTGAGTTGCTGAGTCATCTGTCACCGCGTCAAGTGTCGACATGTACACCCGTAGATACAGAGTATATATGTTTATCGGCCCATATGTATACATATTCTGCTGCAGATTGGTTCTCTGGTGAGATGGGATTGAAAGTGCATAGCCCCTTTGCCCTGTTTAATTGACTGAGCATGACATGTACCATGCGTCTCGGTCCAACAAGCTTCTGAACATCTCTCTCTCTCTCTGGTACACTCAACCGCACCACACATTGCATCCGTGATACCCTGCCAAAGGGTGTTGCATGTTATATCAAATATGAACGCAATAGCAACGTCCTCTTTACTCGACCAGATATTACATAACCTGCGCCGTACTGAGCTTGCACGTGGCTAAATCCGATCACATATATAAAACTGAAAGGTCTGTTTTTCATTTCCTTCCCGATCGTTGGTGGTTATTTAGGAGCTGGTGGACTGGATTTTGGATTCGTACAGACCCGATTTAGCGAAGAATACGCCGTTCCGATTCCTTGATATTGGCGCTGGCAGCGGATGTATAGGCTTGGCCCTATTGAAAGCGTCGAACCAACACCGCGCGTGGGGTAAGGCTATCATAGCACGCGCGATTGATATCAACCCTGTAGCGGTTGCCATGGCAACGGAGAATGCGCAACGATTGGGCCTAGACGGACCGTATACGTGCACACAGATGAGTGTGGATGATATCGGCACCGATATGGCAACCGCAGAGGTCGAGGTGAACAATCCCATACACACGGGTGTTCAGGAGACGGGCGCGGCTAGAGCTGGTACACCTTGTTCAAGCGACCATTGTGTCGGTGTGTCCAGTGACAGGTCAATACATATGCCTGCCTACCAACGGTCAATACATATGCCTACCTACCAACACGTGGCGAATGAGGAGAATCACTCAGCCGATGAATGCGACCGCCCACTAAACGACCCGTCTCAGCGGCAGACGGTGGACCTCCAGAGAACCCAAGGAGCCAAGCACATGGCCTGTAACCCGTCTTACGCTAGAAACACCCAACACACTGTGCAGACATCGGACAAGGACCGGGTATCAGCGGGTGGGGATGTTAGCTTCAGCCCGGAATTGTGTCCACCAGTATTAACAACCACGACTCGGCAGGGTTTATTGGCTGATGATAAACTTGGTTTGTTTCATATGGTGGTGAGTAACCCACCGTATATCCCGATCGCTGACTACGAGGGGTTGGCTACTGAAGTTCGAGATCACGAGGACTTTGGCGCGCTGGTATGCCAAGCCGTATTCGTTATATATATATGTGTGTGTGTGTGTGTGTGTGTGTATACATATGTATGTATATATATATATGTGTGTGTGTGTGTGT